ATTAATGTTCAGGAGATTATTTTATACTTGGATAAGATTGATAAGCGTAACTAATGAAAATCCTGTGAACTACGATTTGGGAAATTTGAAAATAGCCCTGCTATTGTTTGGGGAGTATCGTCCTGTAGCTCTGTTGTAGTTTGGGGAGTAACATCCTGTAGTTGGTTTACTTCACAAACGCCCATGGATGCAGTACCACTTGTATAGGAAGCAGACGGAGCAGGGGAGACGGAGCTACTGCCAGGGCTGTGGTGTTGATACTGATTCATATAACTTATTTGCGGACTTATTGCGGAAGAAAAGTTTTTTGATGGTCGAACAAAAGTATTATTTTGAGGCAGGTAGTTAGAATTGATGGGTTTCCTGTAGTTGAACATCAAGTTGTTTATGTCATGCATTGCATTTGCCCGGGTGTCTTCGTCTAGAGCTCGCAACTTCACACATAACAGATCACAAAATAATTCACTTTCGTCCTTTGTTGATTTTGGTTTATTTGCGACCTGTTTCAAGAAGCCATAAGCGTCATCCATTCGTTTCTGAACTTGTGCTACCTCTATCGATTTTCTTTTTTTAGCGAGTGGTGGTCCACCATTCTTTAAATTAGGAAGTCTTATACTTTCAGTATTTATTTAGTGTTGGCAGCTGCTGTTGGGTTCGATGAATTAGCTTGATCAATTGCATTATTTTCTGTTTCCCCTGTATTGTCGAATTCAGTGTCTTCATCCTCCATATCTTGTGGATGATCTTGTGTATTATCCGGAATCTAAAACAAAATAAATGGTACCAATGTAATGGGAGACTTGTTGTACATTGTGTTATTGTATTGTTATTTATTGTGTGTTATTTTATTTTATTGTTATTATATTGTGTTGTTTAATGTGTTATATAATCTTACTAATATTATAAATGTGAAAGTTTGGAGTGCGAGTGCAGATTTACGTGTAAGAAGTAACTGAGGGTTTACTTATTTCAAAATGTCACGCAGGGCGAAGCCTGCGCTGGTCAGCTAGTAAGAAATAATTGTGTGAGCTTTAAAAATGAAATTATATTTGTTCCACAAATATTACCATGAAATTATTTTATCTTTTTCAGTTGCCTAAGGAGGAGCATTAGTGGCTAGAAATCGCTCGACAGTTCGAACTGCAATGGAACTTTCCTAACTGCTTGGGGGCGATAGACGGAAAGCATGTCGTTATACAAAGCCCACCTAATACAGGATCTGAGTTTTTTAACTACAAATCTCATTTTAGTGTTGTGTTATTGGGGTTAGTAGATGCAGATTACTGTTTTACGTATGTAGACATTGGATGTCAAGGTCGAATAAGTGATGGTGGAGTTTACTACAATTCATCCTTATACAGTAAATTACAAAATGGGGAGCTTAATCTTCCATCCGATAGGAAACTACCATCATCAGATAAAGTTTTGCCTTGTGTGTTCTTAGGCGATTCAGCATTTGCCTTAAGTCGTTGTAAAGAAAAAATAAAAAAAACTCTCATATATTTAAATATTATATTTAAATATATTTACTCCTTGCAATGCTCTCAAAGTGTATTCTTTACAAATCTTGGTTGCCCCTGGGTTGGAAGAACTTGGAAAGTAAATGTACAAATCAGAGCTTTGGCAGTGGAAGCTTGGTGTTAAATAAATATTATAGTGGGCCCTGTAAAATAAAAATACTCCCCAAAGGTCCTTATGGGACGTCCTTGGTACTGTTTGAAGTTCTTCCAGACTGCAATACCTTTGAAATAATAATACCAATCTTAAATCTACACTGAATTTAACCTGCTCACTACCACACTGATATTTAGTGTTGCACTTAAAAGGTGAATCTTTAGTAGTGGCCTATGATTTATTGAATTACCTTTATTTCAATGTTTGAATAATACTACTAATAACGAATTACCAAGGTTACTGAGAACTAAAAAGTGAGTAACAATTTGATTTATTGTACAGTATTTACTTAGCACAATGATTACAATTGGAAGTTACTGATTCTGTTTATGTAAGACAAAATAACCATTGAGCGACACAATCAATTAGAATTCCTGTGTTTGAGAATATTGAATGAATTTATCAAAAGGGGAGATTCGGCGCGGCTACACACCGATCTCGAAGGTGTCAACGAAAGAGTGGTATTTAATTTAATTTGAGATGACCAGTGCCAAGCAAGTCCTGTTCGTTGGCCAACGATGTAAATATGAAGGTCGATTCTCGAAGGTCAACTGATTAAACAGTATTGCGTTTAATCGTAGTAATGCTTATTGGAACGTCGCTTATTGTTTTATGGCTAATTTGGCACTTTGGCGGTTCATCTATATGCAAACTGACACAACCTCCGATAACACTTCCGGATTCAGCCGAACCAGCTACCTACACCCTCCTTTGATATTAATTTGATTCCCCCAAATTTAAATACTGATGGTGACACTCTTTAACGAATTGTACCTTTAATAATGACTCTGTGTAAAATTCCAATACTATAAAAATATTACAAAGCAACTCTGAATTACCCTATAAAAACACTTTCATCTATTTATTCTTAATACTATTGGATTATCACAGTCTAATAAATAAAGCGGATTGTTACAATATGAATGGATATACAAATCAGCGAATTGAGATCGAACCTGTGAACATGTGCTTATTCTACATGAATTAACAAAACAAGACAGGAAAATTTGCAAAGCGCGACTCACTGAATTTTTAATATATATACCAAATAAATGACACAGATTACTTACAGTTTTGGACGTCCACAAATATGACACAAATAAGGGGATAAGGATGAGGAAATGTACCTAGTCGGTATTCTAATACAAACGCGATCAATTGAAACTCGTGTGACGATCGTGAAATTTTCAAATACGGACTGCGTTGGCCGGTTAACGAACTTTTGCACTTTTGACAACAACACTGATTCTAATTTCCGATCGCGAGGCAATTATATCCCTTAGGGATATAGGCTGAACGACTTAAAGGAAATTTGAGATTGCCCGACCAAACGCCGCGAGATGAATTCAATTTGCACGAACGAAAAAAGTTTTTCCGAACTAGATACGTTGAGAGTTGGAGAGGAACAGACCACACAGATACGCTGGTTGCTGGCGGCTCGCTGCATTCCCCTACCACTTTGTGTTTGGAATTCTGGGTAATTGATCAGCTGACTTTTTGTTTTCGTCTGCTACACGTTAATTCGTTGTTAATACGACGAAATCGGTACAAGATGCCCCCTAGCAGAAAAAAATGATCCGCGGGCCGCAGGACAATCCGACTTATCATTTCATCTCGGAGTGTTTTGACCCAACCAGCAACGCAACGATGACACATGACACATTTACAATTACAATTTACAGAAATGACAACAATATGGCAACAACAATTTAAATTATGGTAACAAGAATACTAAATTATAACAATGATGTAACAATGAACTATTGTGCTCAGAAACCAGTGTTCACAAACACTCGACAAACACTCGACAAACACATAAAGGCGTTTCGCGCACAAAACTACATTTAGATGTATCACCAAGTGACCACCAGCAGAATGTGATGTCGAGGCTGCCAAACAGCTGGCCAGGCGTGGAGTGTGTCAGCAGTGTAGCGGGCCAACAATGGTCAGGCGTGGTCCATTGTTGTAGTGACAGTGGCACGGGTGTAGTGGCTCTAGTAGGTCAGCGGCCCAACAGCTGATGGTAGGCGAGGTGGGGAATGGTGGTGTGGAGAGTGCTCAACAATGGTATTACAGAGCGGCGATAACAGTGTTTTCAGTGATGCGATAAGCAGACGGTAGCCTTCTCGAGACAGATGTACAATATCTATTTTCCCATTTGGATATCTTTGTTTGAAATATTGAATCTTCATTGTTATTGACGGTTGGAAAAATTTATGGAATTGTAAAACTTTTATTCCAGGCGGTTTATGAAATGATTGGATAAAAACATTTATGTCTCTGATCTGATTCTGATGTTGCGGATTTTTGTTGAGGGTGGGGGGGAGGGTTGAAATTATGATATCTCTGTTTTTTGTTCTGATGATTTTGATGATAGTTTTGAGATTTGATTTGGTTTGATGGAGGGGAATTCGTTTGAATACGTCATTGACGGAAATTATAATGAAGCAGGTTTTCCGGAGGTGTGGCAAAATGGATTTTAGTGATAATTTTAGGTCTTTTGTTTTCCACCCGCCTCGGTTCCCACTGGCGTCGAGGTCAACACTGGGGTCGTCTATGGTCCATGTTTCGCACATTCGTCTGGCCTGCGAGTCACCCAGCACACTTACACCGTTGCACATCATTGATTTTATTCACTGTCAGGGAAATCACTCACTATTACCATTTTTCACAACAATATTTTTTACAATTACAATTTTTTTTTACGTTACCACATTTAACATTTACAAATTAAAATCATATTATTGTTATATAACGGAGTTTGAAAAAAATGTCATTAGTTTATTCACGCAAACAAGCAAATTTTTTAAATGTTATACTCACTGTTCATCTATAGCACACTGGTCCCAGACAGATTGAGGGATGGAGCTTTTCTGAGGAGATGGTTTTTCACCAAGTTTAGGTTTTTTTGAAGGGGGGGGGCACAGAGAAAGATAGGCTATAGCTTGGTCACTGTACAAATATGTGTGATCTGAGTCGCAGTAACTGACTTGATAGCAAATGGAACCACGCCTACTTTTGCAAACTAAAGTGATTGGTTGGGCAGACGATCTGCGTCACACATACAGGATCTGGAGGTATTACCATAGAAATGTGGTTGGCTAGGCCAAAGATGTACGGCAGTTTCGTCACAATACACAACCCTATAACTGGAGTTCCCTCTCACACGGGCGCAAATAATGGAAATGGAGCTGTGAATGATTTGGCAATTGCAACGGGACTCACGGTCTTGACGTAGTACTTCCTGGACAGCTACTTCGGAGGCTAGTGCTACTTCAGCAAACTGGTTGTCGTCCATGAAATCTGCCACGGGGGGACTGGGTTGTTCAGCGGAACGGCTGGTTGTGGTACGGGACGAGGTGGTGCTGCGACAGCAGCATTGACACTGCGGGCGGATGTATGCAACGCAGGCAAAGTTTCTTCCGATGAGGATTCATCCTGAAAGTGAACAATGTTTGGATTACACATTGGAATTGAGTCACGTACTAATGAAACACCCATCCTAGTACGAGATGTAGATGAGTGGGCCTGTGGTCGTCTGGGAGCACCATTCATGTCAACAGACATCCTTCTAATTAAATCATATGAGAAGTAGTGATTTGATTGATTTGCATATTCCCAACATCGGCTAAATTTGGATATTTGGTATGGTGAACATTTTTCAGAACAACTCTTAGGCAACATGAAGGGGTAGCCTACACCGTTTACCAGAAAGAAGGTGGCTACTACAGTTTGACTTTGGTGACCAATGTTGAAAAGACTATGATAGGAGAGAGCATTAGCAATATGATGGGGCCAAAATTCATAAGGTGGAGGGAGTTTTCTTGAATAAATTCAATTACTTGTTGATCAAGAGCTGTTCTGACTTGGAAATATAAATTACGATACGACAGTAACGAGATGAATAAATTTTGAAAATTACATTGCAAACATACAATAATAACAAATAAAACAATCAATGATAAATACATGGGTCTTGACACCGGTAAGAACTAGTCATGTAGGTATGCGTTTCCGCACTACAGCGCGGAAGCCTAATCCCAAAGGGCGCAGGGGCCTAAACTTGACTTTCATAACACTTTTCCTATAAATTAAGACGAAGGAACACCTTTAACATTAAAGCAAAATAAATAATGAAAATTACATTGCAAACATACAATAATAACAAATAAAACAATCAATGATAGAATTCCAATGAGTTGTTGAAGGTTGGCAGCTTCTCCAATGGATTAAACCGACGTAAACAGAGGCACATGCCAGGAGGGGGGGGGGGTTTCAACTGAGACTGAAGAAGATGTGGAGGGAAGATTAGATATTCCAGATAGATTTGGAGTTTGCCTTTCGGCCTGATCAGGGTTAGGCTGCACTGGTTGCCTTTCAGCTTCACTAGGGTTAGGCTGCACTGGTTGCCTTTCAGCTTCACTAGGGTTAGGCTGCACTGGGTGCCTTTCAGCTTCACTAGGGTTAGGCTGCACTGGTTGCCTTTCAGCTTCACTAGGGCTAGGCTGCACTGGTTGCCTTTCAGCTTCACTAGGGCTAGGCTGCACTGGTTGCCTTTCAGCTTCACAGGGGTTAGGCTGCACTGGTTGCCTTTCAGCTTCACTAGGGTTAGGCTGCACTGGTTGCCTTTCAGCTTCACTAGGGTTAGGCGGCACTGGTTGCCTTTCAGCTTCACTAGGGTTAGGCTGCACTGGTTGGCTTTCAGCTTCACTAGGGTTAGGCTGCACTGGTTGGCTTTCAGCTTCACTAGGGTTAGGCTGCACTGGTTGCCTTTCAGCTTCACTAGGGTTAGGCTGCACTGGGTGCCTTTCAGCTTCACTAGGGTTAGGCTGCACTGGTTGCCTTTCAGCTTCACTAGGGTTAGGCTGCACTGGTTGCCTTTCAGCTTCACTAGGGTTAGGCTGCACTGGTTGCCTTTCAGCTTCACTAGGGCTAGGCTGCACTGGTTGCCTTTCAGCTTCACTAGGGCTAGGCTGCACTGGTTGCCTTTCAGCTTCACAGGGGTTAGGCTGCACTGGTTGCCTTTCAGCTTCACTAGGGTTAGGCTGCACTGGTTGCCTTTCAGCTTCACTAGGGTTAGGCTGCACTGGTTGCCTTTCAGCTTCACTAGGGCTAGGCTGCACTGGTTGCCTTTCAGCTTCACTAGGGCTAGGCTGCACTGGTTGCCTTTCAGCTTCACAGGGGTTAGGCTGCACTGGTTGCCTTTCAGCTTCACTAGGGTTAGGCTGCACTGGTTGCCTTTCAGCTTCACTAGGGTTAGGCTGCACTGGTTGCCTTTCAGCTTCACTAGGGTTAGGCTGCACTGGTTGGCTTTCAGCTTCACTAGGGTTAGGCTGCACTGGTTGCCTTTCAGCTTCACTAGGGTTAGGCTGCACTGGTTGCCTTTCAGCGACAGGTAGCCTAGGTTGCCTTTCGGCAATTGGTTCCATCACAGGAGGAGGGGGTTGACGAACAGGTTCTTCAAGGATAACATCCTCCGTGTCTAGGTCTATGAACTCATCATCAGAGTCATCAAGTTGATCTTGATTTTAAAATGTCTGGATACGCTGCTCCTGGGGATATTGTGTCATTACGACAACAGGGGGAGCGCTTGGGTTAGGGCATGGCATGTGGAGTAGAACTGGTGGATTGAATCTTAAGATCCACTCAATAATATGACCTGAGGAGTTTTAAGTATTATGTCGAAGGTTGAGACTCTGACGTAGAAGATGATGGGCAGCTTCGTAGGTTATGTATACCGGTACTACATTTATTTCCAGAATATGGTCAACGAGCAGAGCATCCCTACCAGTAGCATTGTAACTTGGTTCGATGGTGTGTTGGCTGTTACCTGGCAACTCTAAGGCGCCTAGAGCTCTGTCGGAATACCTGTCCCCAGTAAACCTGAGGAAGGTCCTTGCAAGATATGTGTTAATGCAAAGGCCATATTGCCACATGTAGGTAACAATAAAAGCTACGTAAGATCTGTTGTACAAAGAGGAAGGAATTGGGTATACATAAACGTAGTCTACTCGGTCAGGGTGAAGGTAGATATATAATGACATGATCCTATTACCTATAAGGTTGCCAAATATTGGTATTGACAAATGACTATGGTGTTGGGATTGTCTGGTGGCGGCAACAGCATGATTGGGGGTATTGTGAATTTTGTTAGCCACTCAATTATCACAGTTGGTGAGACGTGAGGGTTGTGTCGACTTAATGAGCGGGTTCGGATGTGGGCTACAGCAAAGGCATAAGAATTCAACAGGGCTCCGTCGATGCAAGCATGCCAGAAGCAAAGCAGCTACAGCAAGCATTGTAATCAGAGGATAATGGACATGCTGAGGAATCGGGGTTCAGTCTGTGTCCAAGGTTGTTGAGGTTGGGAATGAAGGGTTTCCATTCATATTCATTTCCATTCATACTTGGCTATAATACCTGTTTTGTAACGTCACCATACTTCATTGAAAAGTATTAAAGGTTCTAAGATGGCTAGGACAAAATATGTTTAGTGTGCAGTGGAGTGGTAAAGTTTGAGGTTCTTGACTACCTATCACCTTGCCCTTATCATGTTTAAGCCGGAACATATTGGCTCTGATTGGTGCTGATATTTTTGAAAAGTTTCAGATTAACTTCCAGTCCTATGACGATAATCCTATGAAACTTCTAACCTGTTTCAGGGTTTTTGGAACTAGATATTTCATTATGGCTTTCAACTTCTCAGGATCTGTCTGAATCCCAAAAGCGTTTATATCGGTGAGGTATTTCAACTATTTTACACAAATTACACTTCTTAAAAAGCAAAAAATAATAATAATATACCAGATCAACTTGACCTAGTTTATATTGCATTTGTACGGTGTTTATTATTAGATGTGAATGTTACAATTAATTGTGCTGCATATAATTTCATTATAAACAAATAAATATAATTGTAATCACACCAACATACGTATCTTGTGGTATCATTGTGTATCATTGTATTATCATTTTGGTATCAATTTGGCATTAAGCTTCCTCATAAGTGCACTGCATGTGGAAAATCCTTTGCTTCCAAAAACAATACCGATGTTCTTATACACAGATTGAGGCATGTGATCGGCCATATTAGTGCACTACACATAAACCATCTTGGTATTCAAAACAATTTTAACAGACAAGCATAAATTTCAAGCACTTAAAGATCTTCATAAGAGTACTACATGTGGACGATCTTTTGCTTTCACAAGTAAAATGGAAGTACATGATTGGTTCATCTTTTCACTTAAAACTATTTAAATATTTATTAACAATAAAAGTAAACAAAGTAATATACAAGTGGTAAATAGAAGTATTTAACACTGGAAGATACTAGTCTAGTAAAACAACCACAAACAACAGCGCTCTGCGGAGTTAGGTATGGTTATTAATTCACAATCAAACATTGTTATTATATTTATCATAAACTAACCTAACCATAATCGGCAGAGGCTGTATGACGGCAGTTTTTATGTTATTAAAGTGTGTGGTCACTTACTAGATACACGTATCGCACTAGACGTTCCCTGACCACTGTCAAATTCCTCCAGATTTTCCATATACAGTATTCCCTGACGAGTAAAAAGCCTCATATGTTAATTTTATAAATGAAACCTATTTAAATCTATCTGGCTTGTTACAATTGACACTGTCGAGAAAACTAGAAAAAAAGTCAATAACGACAAACCTTGGTCTTGATCCTTCTTACTAGCTGCTTCAACGGGCGTAAGTTTTGATAGCCTTTTGTCAGTATGTCTCTGAGAAATATTTTCTAAGTTCCCACAGGTTTTCTTCGCTGCTGTTGACTCTTGGTCCGTTTCCCTCTCTCTTTTCCCGGAAATCGTTGTAGGTGAAACGGTCAACAGATCAGTTACAGAGGCTATCGAGTTTTTTAATTCAGGAAGGGGCAACAAAAGCCCACAGCTTGATGAATTGTCAGAGTCGTTCTTACAGGTGTGCTGTATGTAAAAACCTCTTCATATATAAAGGGACTACAAATGTTATTTGTACAAATCAAGATTGAAATCTAATCAAATCTTGTTTAATTGAAATAGCAAGTGTTGAAACGGTTCAATAGTTTATTAAGTCTAACCCTTATAACCCCATGTTTTTACTTAATTATAGTTTTTATTTATACAAATCGTAAACTACTAAGATTTAATTTTATAGCCATATCCCGCTTTAGGTTAGGTTATGTTAGGGTAGGCTTGGTTAAACTAATAACAATAGTTGCAGGCGTAAAATCATTTTAATTAGTATTATAAATGAAATAAGTTTCTTTAAACTGCAAAAAAGTCGTTTAACAAAGTCCTTAATCATTCAACTTCACTCCTGTTGTGTTTATTTTAGTCTACGAACTTCTCGCGTTCAACCATTGCTTAACGAGGACTGTTGTTGAAGTCCGCACTAAGCTCTCCCCTCGTGGGTCTGGCTCCTCATCGTTTTCTTCGAGGCATGCGAAGTAGTCCTTATCGGAATCCTTTGTTCGTAGAAAGTTGTGTGGCACACATGTAGCAATCACAACAACCTTAGCCACTTCCAAAGGCCCATTGTACAGACTCTATTTTTGAGACAGTACGGCATAAATATTCTTAAACTACTTCACGCGCCATGCAAAGTCTGTAGCTGTACCTCCTCTTTCTTCGATCATTCGGGCTTTCCTTTGGAGGAAGGGTTTCATAAGGTTTCGTAATAAGTCGATTACTCGTCTCCTATTAAAGATCGTGGGGGACTTGGCTTTGCCCAGGAAGATGTTTTTCTCCTGGAATAAGTTGGTATGATTTTATGCTTTTTCTCATCGGCAGATTCGTCAAATATCCCCCATCGCTGTTTTCCCATATCCTCCTACATCAATGCAGAGGAACTTGTAATCTGGACCAACTATGCTTAACAGAACAATCGTAAACTTGTATTTGTATCAAAAGTATGTTTAACCGGATTTTGCTGGGCACCTAACAGTCACCTGCTTTGTCAGTAAGATGAAATATAGAAACATAATTGATGAACGTTACTTTAAAGATGTGAACCATTCCCTCGTGCCTGCACCCAGACTAACGAAATGGAAGCATGATCCATGCGCAGGCCCGAGGAGCGGCTCACAAAACTCTACTTCCTCGACTCTACTAGTCGATTTCAATTTGCGCATTCAATTTGCGATAGTCCAGGACCATTCGGGACTTGCCATTGGGTTTTGGGACGAGAAAAGCTGGACTAGCGTAGCTCGAATGGGAAGGTTCAATGACACCATTTTCCAGAAGTTCGTCAATGATTTTTCTGAGAGTTTCCATTTTGGGTGGAGCTAATTTGTATGGGTGAGAGCGAACGGGACGGGTATCTGTCAGACGAATCTCGTACTCTAACAGGTTAGTGACTCCGAGCTTTGGCGTCAGCACATCTGGGAAACGAGAACACAAGGTTCTGATGGCTTCAGCCTCGCAAGTAGTCAGATGCCCTAACGGATCAATTGTTGGCTTGCTGGGTATCTCAGGCTTGACTACCGCAGCACCACCACCAATTTCATCAGCAAAATATATTAATACCCGTCTCGCAAATCGGAAAAAACACTGACCTCTGCCTAAATCCAAAATTAGGCCAGTGTGCTTGATAAAATCCGCTTGGGCTCCCAAAATGACAGGGAAACAAAGGTCCTTAGCCACCCAAAAACTCCAAACCCAAGAAAAATGTTCAATTTTGAACTTGAAACGGGCCTCATAGATGATGGGAAGGGGTGAATTTGACGCAGTCCAGCAGATAGGGGTTTTTCGCTCAACTTGCTTGATAAGCCCAGACGATTCAAGTTTTTCAAAAAGGGACAGGGAAATGAGGCAACGGGCTGACCCAGAATCCACTAGGGCCTTCTGCACCGTGGAACCTATGAAGATGTTGAGACGTGGGCAAGTTGAGCGCGCCGCTTTCACGCCCATGGAAGCAAGGCCCGCAATTCCCCGCAGCAGAGGCTCAGTCACAGGCACAACACTCCCAGAAGGGGAGGCAACAGAAACATTAATAGGCTTTGACTTTGACTTACTTGAGAAAACTTTCAAATTATTGCCCTTTACTTTAACACCAACAACCTCACAGGAAGGATTGGGCAGATTTTCCTCCTGTGAGCAAACTAGTTTTTTGGACCACGTCCAAAATTTCCACCTTGACGGCAATGCCGCCGAATGTGACCTGGTTGCCCACAACCAAAACAAACAACGGGCTGCCTCTGCCACTGCGGCGGTTCGGGACCCAACCCCACGGGTGCTACGACAGCATGATGACCAGCTAGGGGAAGATGCCCCGCTGCTTGGTCTCTCTGGAAATCAGCGTCCTGTACAGATCTCGAAAGGATTGAGAGTCTGTCCAGATCCGCAAAAGATGAAGGTCGTGGCGCAAAAACCAAACGGGAGCGTTCCTCAGGCTTCAACCCCTGAAGCACAATGTCAATGAGCTCAAGCTCACTGATCCCCAAACGCAAGACCCTTTCCACCGTGCGAATGTCCCCCACGTACTGGCTGAGAGACTCGGCTGGCTGCTGAGGACTTTGACAGACTTTCCTGCCTTAATACTCTCCAAAATTCCTTCCAGCTCAAGAATTCGGGCCTCCACCCAACTCTTGTCTTCATCCTGGATTTCAGGTTGCCCTAAAACCAAGAGTAGACGCTTACGCCAGTGCGTCAGCTGTGTGATGGCCGAACCCTTAGCTGAGCCCATAGGCAAACTACTCCAACTATTAATTTCCCCACTTAGCTCTTCCATCCTCTCTTTACATGCCTCCAGTTTCTCATTCAAACTGAGAGACTCAACCAAAGCTTGAGGCATGCTAGCAATTTTTCTGAACTGTGTACGCAAAGTGCGTACATCAGTTCCAGGAGTCGCCCCCCGGGACCGCACCTCGTACACCAGCTCCGGCTTCCTCAAATATTCTGGCACAATTGACGCCATACCGAGT